GGGGGCTCCCTCTGCTCGGCCCCCGCGAGAGGTACCGCGCGGGCGCACACACGGGCCGGACGCGAGACGCCGGCGGCAAGGAAGGGTGGCTGGCTCCCCGGGCCGGCCCCGAGACGGGACGGACGCGGCTCTCCCGGCGCCGCTCGTGCGGCCCGCCGAAGCCAGGCTCCAACGGGCAGGGGGACGGGGCTTCAGGGGCCGAGGAGGGACAGGGCCGCAGGACTTGCTGAAGGGGTTTCCAACTGCGGGGTGGAGGCGTCGCGGGGCTGTTTGCATCGCGGCCCGTGCCCCCCCCCGGGCGGTTCTGAGCGAGAGCTCAGCGCCTGCGGGGAACAGCCGCGCTCGACCTGCCCCCGAGGGGAGAGCAGTCCATTGTAGGTGAATTTGCTCATTCCGCCTCTTTTTTTTTTTAAAGCTTGTCCTCCTGTAGCCAAGACAGTTACTTTTCTTGGAGAGTGCACAATGCAATAATTGAAAAAAATGATGGAAAAAGCTACTGTTGCTCCGTATAACACAACCCTTTTGTGATTTTTTAACCTTGGAGTGTCAAATTTGAGCAGATACTATTGAAAGCTTCTGAACCACAAGTTTGTCGGTTTTGGACTGTAGCAAAGAAAGGTTTGATTCATTTTTAAAATTAGCACCAGGCCACATTGCTCTGTGCCCCTTGCATGTAAAAACGAACAATCTGCAAAAACAAATTTGTCCAAATGCAAGTTGTGAAAGTATCAAACCTCCCATTAATTAATCTTTGCTTATAAATAATCCAGACCATCCTTTGATGCTTTTTTATTTCTCCATGGCAGCATGCTCATGACCTCCACTGGGGGCGTGAGCAAACCTTTTGTTGTTTGTGGTTTTGTCTGTACTGTTTCTATACAATCAAGGTCCTGTGAAAAGGAGGAAGAGGCAGCAGGAGGTAGGAACAAGCTGGGCTATTTTGGACCAATGTCCCATTAAAATGTTCTCTCTCCCTTTAACTCACTCCAAACTCCTATTCAAGCATACACTTTGTATCAGTCTTTAACCTGCACTAAAACCTGTAGGACACTGATACTTTGACATTGTTGGGAAAGAATTAAAGAATCAACCAGGGATGGCTAATATTTCTTGCCTTATTTTATTGCAGAACAGCAGGAATTCAAAGTCTTTAAAGCTCTGGTACTTTGACTCTTTTATGCAGCTGGGATGATGAAATAAAAATGTGTTTGGTAAAGGAATTCAAATTAGCACTGGGTCACATAATTCCCCTGTTCTGAATATGGCCAATCAATGGCATCTCTAAGGCATCTACAGGCAAGAGCTATGCAATTTCTGCTCATGCAGAATAATATTCCTAGCGTGGAAATTTCTGCTAATTAAAGCCCTTGCCAAGTAGAGTCTTTTTTTTCTTAAATAGCTCAAGTCACAGCCAGGACTTGGGGAAAGCCGCCCTATAGTCAGAGCATGCATTCAAGATTTCAAACTGCAGATCTTGCTTCCTGTTAAAATCATGATATAAATAGTGTTACACACCATTAACAACAGTTTATATATGAAGAAACAAACAATATTTTCTTATGGAATTAGAAACATTTTTATAAAGGAACTATTATGACCCGTGCATATGTTTCCTTGTAGAAGGTAGAGGAAGAAAACAGGGGAATTTATTTTTCTGATTTTGAAATAAAGTAACACACCGAAGCCTTTTTTTTGTTTGTTTGTTTGTTTATAAGACCTTTAAGTCTGTATTGAAATCATTTTGCCTGCATCTTTTTTTTAACTAATTAAACTAGTAGCAGGGATAACTAAAGTTAAAACTCCAGGGAAGTTGTTTAAACATAAATTATTATGGAGATTGGGCTTCAGTCTATAGTATGGTAGATCTTTCATTTCTCACTCACAAAAATATCTTGCTCTGTTGCATGATTAGCCAGGCTTGCAGAAGACCACTTCTTAAAGCACATAAAATGTTAACTATACAGCAATTGAAAGAAGTATGGTGGGCTAAATGTTCTTGACCAAACAAGTTCTTAAAGAAGCTAACAGTGGCACTGTAAGAAGCTTTTCACATCCAACCCAGTGATGTATGGGGTGACAACAAGAATGATATATGAAGAGTAAGAAGAAGGAGTTTTGTTTTGTGTTTTCTGAACAAGAACAAAGCTATTCTGATACTTAACAACTAAGCTCATGGTTTCATGAGCAGAATGCTCTACATCTGGGTGTCAACAAGCAGAATGCTCTACATCTGGGTGTCAAACTCACCTTGGGCCGTAGGCCAGATCTGGATCACTTAGCTTCTCTTGGGCTGGATCCAGCCTGAGGCATGAGGGCAGCTGCTGTGGCCACCACAGTGGTGGCAAGTCTGATGGTGGTGGTGGATCCAGCAGTAGCAGCATGTCTAGAGGCAGCAGCAGTGGTGAGGGGTTTGTTGGCAGCCCTGGGTCAGAGGTGGTGGGGGTCTGTCAGCAGCAGGAGAGGCCACAGGGCAGTGGTTGTGAGTCAAGTTCATTGCAGACAGCCATGGCCAGTGGGGCCAAATGGCCCTGAATTCTGTAGCAGGCCATGGCCCCCAACTTCTGGTGGCCAGATCCAGCCCAAGGGCCAGATGTTTGACAGCTCTGCTCTACAGGTTATGACACCTAACAAAATGAGGCCCAAGTTGGTTGTGCTTTCCAGGGGCTGTCATTATATAAATGTTAAATAAGAACCATGGACCAAGGGACTAGGAACAGGGATGCATGGGTTGGTTTTTCATCTGCAGCTGGTGTTTGACCACAGGTAAGAAACTATTATGCAGGAAGTAAGAGTAGGTGGTCTTTATAGGCCCTTCTGGCTTATGAATGAAAAAAATGTTCTGTGTTTGTGTGTTCATAACTATAAAAGTGATTCTACTAATTCTTACCTCGCATGTTGTGAGGAGTGATTAATACATCTGAAGTGTTATCCCTAGATGGAAGTACAACTATGCATCTGTAAAGTATTTGTTTAGCATGGTTTTTAAAACCCTTCTGATTATCAGGTGCTCATGCTGCACATTATACCATTGATTTATATTGCCGCCTGTTTTAGTCAGTTTTTCTGTACTTTCTAAAAGTACTACCCGTAAGCCACCATCAGCCTTAAATACCAGTCAAATCACTTCTAAGCTAACCTTACTGGGGAAAAGCCAGTGAAAATCCAAGAGCCGTGTAGTGTGCCCTTAAAGGTCTCCTACAAAGGTCTGCTTCTTTAAGGTTCTGAGCACCTTCATCTGTTCTTGATTGCAATGGGAGATGGGGGCGCTTCGCATCATTCAGCAACAGGCCCAGTATCTTACAAGACTGGATTTTAAAAACAGGTACTATCAAACTAACTGCATGTAAAGTGTATGCCCAGATCAGCCCCTCCTATTGAAGAATGATTTTTAGGGAATAAATGTCCCGATTCCCTTTCTATGTTCTGTTGGGAGTTCAGGATTGATTCTGCTAAGCCAGTGATTCCCAGAGTGTGCCCTAGCATGCTAGCGTGCCACTAGAGTGACAGAAGTGTGACCCGTGGTGAGGAGGTAAAGGCTCCCTTTGCCCCAGTTACTCTAGTGGTGCCTAACTAAAGCTACTTTTCCAAAGCTGCCACTGCTGCTGCTGCCTTCACTTCCTCCCAGCTAGCCCCTTTGCCAGCCCCCATCACACTCCTACCAGTGCGTTGTGTTGGAAGCGGGTAGTTAGGTGCGTGGACGCACCAATGGAGCCACCTTTTGTAGTTTTGCCTCTCCTCCATCTCTCCCCTGCTCTGGGGACTGGCGAGAGGGGATGCAGGTTAGTCAACAGTTTATGACACCTTGCACGAGCAGCCTTATCAGCAGGGTCTGCCTTTTCCCCCTCAGGTGCAGATGAGGGGTCAGGAGTGAGTAGAGGGTGAAAGGAGCGGGGCACAGTGGGTGAGTTCCTGCCCCTGCTGCCCTTAAGTGGCACATTACATCAGCAGTTCTTAGCTTTTTTTGGCCTCAGGACCCACTCTGTATCTCTTCTGAATTTAGATCCATCTCAGAGATTTCCAACTGGTGTGTTGTGAAATTCAGAAATATTTTGGAGGGATGCCTGGAAGCTAAAGAAGTTGAGAATCACTGGTATAGAGACTAATCTTTTGCTTAAAGGAAGATATATTTGGTATCATTTTTTAATAGGACACCTCAGCACTGGTATGATTTCCTCTGCTGGGGGAATGGAATATGTTTTACACACACACACACACACACACACAAATATATACACTTTTGGGGGTGTAAGAGTGAAGTGTGCTACCAATTTGAATCCGGATGAAAAGAGTGCTTCCAATATCAAAGGTTTGGGAAACAGTTTTCTAAGCCTTACGGGATCATCTCAAATATGATGGCTCCCCAAGCTTGAGAAGAGGCCCATCCACTCAGAGGATCTGGGCCTATGTCTTTGCTTTCCAGTCTGCTGTTTATGCACAGAATGGATACAGCACAGGCAGTGACTGGGCAAGCTTCAACCATGCCATCATTACCAACAAGCTTCCATGGGTTTGGTCAGCGTGTGCCTTCAGCCCCTGTCTTGTCACTC